ATATATTCTTAAAGAATCAATTTTATTAATATCTTTATAAAATATAAGATCTCTCTTAAATTTATGTACGTTGCTGAGAATGTCTTAAAATTGCAATTGAACTCCTACAGGCAATTTTATTAATATATTTGTAAAATATATGATCTCTTGAATTTCAAATTTACATTGCTGAGAATGTCATAGAATTGCAATTGGACTGTTACTAGAAGCCGCGCGGCTCTTACATCTTTAATTTCGAGCAAACAAGTATAGACATAATAAAAATCAATAACGGTCAACCTTAATAAGCCTAAGTGGTTGTCATGAGATTACAAATGATTATGATAAAACTCGGTCTTATCTCTTAATTCTGTATGTAAACTAGCAAAAAAATAAGACTTGAATAATCTCATCATTATGGTTTGTTATTCGTCCTGCCTCATTTATATTATTCACGTAAATATATAACTTTAAGCTGTATACCCTATTACTACGATTACTTCTAACAATATCGCTAATCCAGAGTTACAATTTACCTTCCTGGCCTTTATCTCGGCAATATCGTCCATAATATCGAGCTGCAGATTGTGAGTGCTTCCACTGTTGCTGGGCGGGCCGGTCATCCCGGTGGACGAATCTCGCCGGCTCTGTAATATCCTGGTGGCGCCTCCCATAGGAAAAGCAGCGATGGATTCGCGACGATTGCGCCCGAAGAGAGTAGTCGGCACCCTGGAGATCGTGACGACAGAATGCCGCCGGCCGCCAGCCGTCGGTGCCGGCGTCTGTGAAAGCGTCGCCAGGAAAGCAGCCTCCCTCGCTGATGGACCGGAACCTTCTCCACCACGTTCGCTCAACCGTCGCACCTATTCATCGCGTGCAATTTAAGAGGAGACCATTTCATCGACATCGACACCCAATATGGATTTATCTTACTGTTTGAGAAAAAAATTTAATTAATCGGATTGGCAATCAAAGGACACAGCCTCATCGAGAAATACTATAAATCTGAATCTCGGATTTTATACATTTTTAATGTGATTATTTATAGATTTATCTTGGTCGTAAGCTTTTAAAAATGTAACTGTACGCATTAAAATGATAATATCATTGCGGTTTAGAATAGTAAGATATCTGTTAAGGCACTCACTACTACTGTACCAGATTGACGTCAGAAGCGAAAAAATAC